CCAAACGATGAAACTAGATGCGAACTACTCAGTTAGTCATGTAATGAGCCCAGAAACATAGCTCACACTTAATAGCTGTTTACTGATGGCTGAGCCAGTCACACATAGAGCTTGCCAAACCACAAGATGAGGAGGGTTAATGATGTGTTTGTGTTTAATTTATGAAACGTTTTACGTACGCAGAAGAAGTAGAGACCAATATAACAAACATTCAGCAAAAGAGAGAAAATTTTATGAACACAAATGAAACCTCTGGAGCATTTTTCCAAGAGTTCTTGCTCCCTCCTTCATCGGAGAGGTGACCAAAACCTGAATCTGATGTCGGCCATTAACAGTGTCAAAAAAAAAGTGAGTGGATTGCCTGCATCCGCGGGTTTAAACCCGCCTGGGCAACTTGACGAGACCTCATCTCTACAATAAATCAAAAAAAAGAACCCATAAGTACTACATTACATTGTTTTGCCTGTTTTAAAGCTTTATACAAATGGTATCAACAGGCACATGAAAAAGTGCTCAGCCTCACTCCTCATCAGAGAAATGCAAATCAAAACCCCATTGAGATACCACCTCACCCCGGTAAGAATGACTATCATTAATAAAACAAACAACAACAGATGCTGGTGAGGATGTAGAGAAAAAGGAACGCTTCTACACGGCTGGTGGGAATGCAAACTAGTGCAACCTCTCTGGAAGACAGGGTAGCGATTTCTGAAAGAACTAGAAGTTGGCCTTCCATACGACCCAGCAATCCCCCTACTGGGGATATACCCAGAGGAACTCAAATCATTCTACAAAAAAGATACCTGCACTCGCATGTTTGCTGCAGATATATTCACAACAGCAAAAACATGGAGCCAACCATGCGGCCCATCGAAGCTGGACTGGATTAAAAAAAAAATGTGGTACGTACACGCAAAGGAATATTATGCAGCCATAAAGAAGGACAAACATATGAACTCTGCAGCAACTTGGACGGATTTGGAGTTGATCATACTCAGTGATCTATCACAGAAACAAAGAACAGAATACCATATGTTCTCACTCATAAGCGGACCTTGGACAATTATCATGATATTATGAGAAAGGGATTGGCAGTAGTGGGAAACCGCCAGGGGAGGGGGATGGGATTGGCAGTTGAGAGAAATTGCTAGGGGAGGGAGGGGCATACCTCATCCATAAGGGTACCTGCATGATCAGTGTTTGTATACCTAACCCTGAATCGTACCCCACATCTTTAAAATAAAAAAAACCCCAAAACCAAAACAACAAATAGTATCCTCCTATACATATATCCTTCTGCAACACATACCGTTCTTTTGCTCGACTGCTTTTGAGATGAACCCAGACATACAAGTCTGTCACTAATTCAGTTATGTGCCGTTTAGCGTTCTATCATTTATTCGTGTATATCTTTGGTAAGAAACACCTTTCCTGTATGATGACACCATTACCTATCTGTTCTCCACCTGAGGGTTACTGAGTAGGCTTTCACGTTTTTGTCACTATAACCCATGCCGCAGTGAGCATTTTGGCACAAGCCTCCTGACCCCACAGGTGGGTGCTCCTTTGGGGGCAGGGTCACACCACTAGCATCCCCAACACGAGAACATGGCTGGGAGCAAGTGGGTGACACACTTCTGGGCCACTTTCCCCCCTCCCAGCCCAGAGTTAGGGGCTGTTCCAGTCCCATGCCCTCACAGTAATGCCAAATAAATAATACTGAATTCTTTCCTACGGACTGAAGCCGTCCTGGACGGCATCAGGAGTATTCCACTTAAGTCTGCAGGCTCTGTGAACACCCTGCAAGTCCCAAGATGCGTTCGGGAAAGCAGCATGCCTGGTGTCCCATTGGAGGAACCCATGGGAAGTGGCAGGGCTCACACTTCGATGCCCAAGCTGAGTTCTAAGGCCGTGCCTGAAAGGCAGCGGCAGAGAGCAGTGCCCGAGAGCAGGGCCGAGAGCCGCGTAGAGGGGCGCCTGGGAGGGCCCTAGGAGCCCCAGGAGGGAACTTCCCTCTGCCCCTGGAGGGAGAGAGCTGCGGGACGTCGTCTGGAGGGAGAAGGAAGGAAAACGCGGACCGGGGGCAGAAACCGAGTTTCTAGAACCCTCTAGACATCCCCCTGCAATTCATTGAGGGAGAACAAACCAGACCACACCACGAAGCCTCCGAACGGCAGCAGGTGGTTGGCTTCCATGGCCCTATCCATGAGAGCGACCTGGAAAAGACCCAAAGCCTGGGGTCCCCTACCTCCCACTCAGCTGCTCCCCTGGCTTCAGACATCTCTCTACCCTCCACTCAGCTCCTCCGCCAATTCCTGGAGTCTCCGTACCTCTCACTCAGCTGCTCCCCTCGCTCCTGGGGTCTCCCTACCCCCCACACAGCTACTCCCCCAATTCCTGGGTCTCTGTACCTTTCACTCAGCTGCTCCCCCACTCCTGGTGCCTCCCTACCTCTCACTCAGCTGCTCCCCTCGCTCCTGGGGTCTCCCTACCTCTCACTTGGCTCCTCCCCCAATTCCTGGAGTCTCCGTACCTTTCACTCAGCTGCTCCCCCACTCCTGGGGTCTCCCTGCCCCTCACTCAGCTGTCCCCCAACTCCTGGATTCTCTCCCTCACTCAGCTGCTCCCCCATCTCCCCCTTTCGACTGCTTCCCCTCTCTTGGCATTCGGTTTATCTCCTGTCACCTCTGTTATAATTAAAACAAATGGAAGACTTGCAGGTGTTGGCTACGACGCATTTGCAGATCTGCACATCTTTAAAAACAGCCACAAAGTGCACAGCTTGGTGTTTGGAGAAACTCTGAAAGACCTTCCTGGAAATGAAACCGTCTTTCACCCTGCAGGTCTTGAGTTTCGTCTGGCGGGCCCTTCCGCCAGTCCGTCACCATCTCCGCACTGCCTTGCACAGACGGTGACAGCTTTACCTGGTGAGGGCCGCTCCAGCTTTTGGAGAGCTGGGGGATTTCTGGAAGGATGGGTTGCAACGGGGAGACTGCGACTGCAGGTCTGGCGCCGTTTTAGATAGTACGTCTCTCAGGCAGAACAACAGCCGTGAATTTAGTATCTGTAAGTAACCGAAAGTGGAGAAAAGGTTAAAAACGTGCTGAAATCTGCAACATTTGGAAGGAACCATCCTTCCCCGAGGAAACCCGCATATTGGCACAGGCACCACTGGGGCCCCCTGCTTCCCGGGGCATCCCTTCGCCATGAGCACCAGCTCCAGGGGCAGGGTGTTCCAGGTCCAGCTGGAGCTCGGCCGCATCCTCCTCTCCCTTGACATTCCGGCTTCCCAGAGCCTGGGAGGAGCAGTGGCGGGGCAGGGACGGCAGCCCAGCAGGGACCAGCTCAGGTGCCGCCGGCAGCATTGCGGTCCTGGCTCTGCCTCCAAGATCGCTGAGCGGTGGCTTAACTGCCTTACTCTTCTGTTCCCTCGTCTGTGCCACGGGGGCAGTGACACCACGTGAACCACGGTCAGAGCCCTAGTGAAGGCAAAGGAAGGTGATGCAGGTGAAGCCCCAACTAGCACCCCCTCCCGGAGGGGCAGGCGGTGGGGGAGCCAGTGAGGGGGCGTGCTGGTGGCACTTTCTTGGTAGAACTCCACAGCCCCAGCTTGCCTGGGGTTCGCCCATCCATCCGTCCATCCGTCCGTCCGTCTGTCCGTCCGCATCCATCCATCCAACCATCCATCCAGCCAGTCAGCCAGCCATCTGTCTGTCCGTTTGTCCGAGCTTAAATCCATCCGTCCGGCCATCCATCTCTCCATCCACCCGTCCATCCACCCATTTATCCATCCACTCGTCCATCTGTTTATCAGCTCATCTGTCTATCCACCCATCCACCCATCCATCCACCCACCCATCCGTCCGCCCGTCCATCCACCCACTGATCCATCCAACCATCCATCCATTTACCAGTCTACCTGTCCATCCGTCCATCCATCTGTCCATCCACCCATCCACTCATTGACCTGCCCGTTCATCCGTCCATCCATCCACCCATTCATTCATTCAAAAATTTCATAGACCTCTACTATGTGCCAGGCATCGCTCTGGGGTGTGTAGAAACAGTTCATGTGCTTATATTGGATATTTAAAATAAAGAAAAGCGAAATGCACTTAACTAGTACACATTTAATCGTGGACAAGTGTGGCAGGTGGGATTAACGTGAGGCCCAAGTGAGCTGTGGTTTTGGCAGCGCCATGCTCCCCCGCCTGCATTGAACGTGCGGGGTACCCGCTGGCCTTTCCGGCCCTGGATGGCCACACTTTGCATAATAAATTGAAATGTCCATGGTTGAGAAACACAAACACTCCAAGGTGTTCTCTAAACCAGCAGAGAAACTTACAAGCCCTAGGCCCAGGCCAAAGGACGTGGAGGCCTCCTTCGCACAAGAGCCTTGCTGGCCTGTGGCTCTGTCTGAACTGAGCTTCCTTTCATCGAGGATGGGCACGGGCAGGGCTTTCCCCTGAGTTCACAGCAGACATTCGGTTCTCTCTCCTTCTCTCGCCCTCACAGCGCGGCTTCCTCTCGGTCTCTCCCTTCCGACTCCCGCGCTCACCCGCCCTGGAGGCCAGGCCGTCCTTCATCCTGTTCATTCCCCACACGCCCCGTACCTGCTGAGCGTCTTTAGGGCCACTGTCCCCTCAGTCGCCCGTAACGGTCCCGTCATCGCCCACCCAAGCCCGAGGCGGTCACCCCAGCGCATCCCGAGGACCAGCTTATTTGCCATCATGGCTGCGCACCCAGACAGGCTGCGGGGGGCCCCTTGCACACGCATCACATGTATCTGCCTTTCTGTGTTTCAGTTCGCCTGCAGCGTCCGTCTTCCTGGCAAATTCTTTTTGGCAAATTTTCAGCCAAATCCTTCCTATCCTTAAAAACCTTCTTTCTAAAGACTTGTTTCCTCCATGGAGTGTTCTAGGGCGACTCTAGCTTGGTTCTCCCTGACTTCAGAACTTCATGGATGTCTACATTTAAAAAATTAAGGACTAACATAAGGCTGCCATATTTTTTCTTTTATTATCAAGTGAGACTATTTTAAAATGCCAGTTACCAGCCACTGTTATTATGGCTTCACAGAAAAATGCCTTTTTTGACCCCTGTAGGAAGTAGGAAATTCTTAATCTCGGAATAAAGGGCAACCCATTAAGCCCATCTGGCTTTAGGCAAACCTGTTTGTGGCATTTTTTTCAGCCATGCGTATCCGTGAATGGACCGGCATCTGGGAAGCACTCGTGTGTGGCCTGCTAGGGTCTAGACAATGTCAGAGACGCACAGGCCTCTGCTCCCAGCACTCTGTCATGACAGCAGGCACCGTGCTGGGCACCTCAGCACCCGCTCAGTGTGATGCACACAAGGATCCCACGAGCTGGATGCCACCATGCCCGTTCGACAGATGAGGAGAGGAAAGCTTAAGGAACTTGGGCTGATTCCCCACTTTGCCCTAGGCACACGTTTATTTCCTAAGAGAGGCTAGCAGGCATCAACACTCTCATTTAATCCAAACACAATGTAAAACATTTCTTGAAATTACAGTTTAAAAAATGTAGCTTGTGCAACAAAACAGTTTCATTTTGGTTGCCATAAGAGGACAGGTCCAGAATCTTATTTCGGACCAGAGACCAGTAGCAATGAAACCCTCTACAAGGCTCCCGCATAAAGACTGTTCAGGGAACGATGGACACCATCCAGTCAAAAAGGCTTCCTCCCGGCACAACGCAGCCGTTTGCAAGATCAAAAAGTCTCTCCAGGCTGAATATATTTGGCAGCGAGACATCAAACGGGACCTGAGGAAAAGCATAAAAGTGTTCATGAGACCCGTTGCTTCACACTGCTGACTAAGTACAGTTCCCCAAATACCCCAACACCATTTCATATGTGGATCTTATATGAACGAGAGTTAACTTTCACGCCTCAGCATTTCTACACTGCTGAAACGTCGCAGATATTAATCTGGATCCCACTGAGATGCCTGGATTAGCTATAAAAAAAACAGCAAATATTTCTAAACAGGGACCGTTGGCATTGGCACAGCCATTGCCACATTCTCTGCTCCTCGTGTAATGCTTCCCTGTACGACAGCAGACTGACCCGCGGGCAGATCCCCCTCCCTCGTTTTGAGCTACGTCCCGCCAGGTTCTGTCTGGAAGGCGCTTTATGTGGAAGAGGCCCCGGGTTACCATGACCGGGAACGAGTGTGGCCAGAGTCATCCTGAGCAGGCTGAAAGGCAGAAAATAGAGACTGCCGTGGTCACAGCGGTTGGGGGACGGCAGGGAGGGAGAACACAAATGAGGGAAAGCAAATGAGTGTTTGTTTCATGCCCATCCAAACGAACACGGGAGAGGTGTGAGCAATACCAGGCAGGAGGCCACAGCCCCGTGGAGCCCCCGGGCCTCGGTCCTGGCAAGCGGTTAGAGGACAAGTCTGTATAAACTTCTCGTCTACTTGTTAAATGATCACTCATTCCTTTCATTCTCAAGAAAGTGCAGTGGACTTAATGGTGGGCGTCACTGTGGAGGCTGGTTTTTGTTTGTATAGCCTTCACCTTTCTGTATTAAAAATGACAAAATATTCCAGTGCTTTCTATAACTTCAAACAAGAAAGAGATGAATAAAAAAAAAATAATAATCCCCCCTCACTGATCAATCCTGATACACGTAACCGATGTTTCCAGACTGGGGGCGGGGGTCGTTATCCTTCCATATGACTTTTTTTCTTTCTTTAAAACGGGATAATTGGGTCTTCATCATTTGTTTTTTTCTTTTCTTTTTTTTTTGAGTTGGAGTCTCACTCTGTCGCCCAGACTGGAGTGCAGCGGCCGCCCCCGGCCCCTGCAGCCTCGACCTGCTGGGCTTCGGCGGTCCTTCCGCCTCAGCCTTCCAAGTAGCTGGAACTACAGGCATCCGCTACCACGCCTGGCTAATTTTTTTTTTAAATTTATTGTAGAGATGAGGTCTCGCCAAGTTGCCCAGGCAGGTCTCGAACCCACGGGCTCAGGCAATCCACTCATCTCAGTCTCCCAAGGTGCGGGATTACAGGCTGAGCCACCCAGCCCGGCTATTGTTTTTTCAACTAGGAACATGTGAGAGAAATCCCTCCTTCATCACTTCAGGAGGCAGAATCCCTCCAAGGATGCTAAGGGTATGTGGTCCGGAAGAGGCTGCCTGATTCCCGCTCAGACTTGCCAGCTGTGTGAAGCTGGGTGAAAGATCTGATCTGCTTGAACTTTAATTTCCTCATCCACAAAACAGAAGTAATGGTAATTCCTCTATCATCTCGGTCCACGGATTAAATGCTGTATACTTGTAGAACACTTAGATGGCGTCTGGCGCACTGCAGCCACTCTGTGAAAGCCACGCGGTACCCTCTGGATCAAACACACCCTGGCTGTGTACTGATCTCAATATTCACAGAGGTTGACTCTAGTTTCTGTACTTGCTTGCCTATTTGCTTATAGCCTCGGGCACGGGTGCTTTTAATTTCTGTAATACTGATTCCCTACAGTGGTTTTATTCAGTCAAAGGGCATTTATATTTTATATTTTAACATTTACTGCCAGAATTACTTTCCAAATAGGTTGTGGCAATTAACATGTCAACCAGCAACACTGAGGGTTTCCCTACACCCAAAGTAACATATGGGATGTTACAAATCTTTGCAGTTGTTTCGCTATTTCATTAGTATTTTTTATTCAGAAAAAGATGGTGAACATTTACAGGCTGATATTAGCTGGTTCATTATTATGCTGAAACTATATGTGTTTACCATGATTATTCTGGTTGTATTTTATTGCTATTTAACTGCAATAAACTTTTCATCTATTTTATGGTGATGAATTATCTCATGACCAACTTAATACCTTTTAGCAAATAATTTTAAAAGTACTATACAAAGAAATAATACTCAGCAATTCAATATTTGTAATTTCTTTTGTGATCAATCTCTTTCATTGTGGAATTCTTCCCATGTTAAAGACAAGAATGGCTTTAAAATAAACACAATGGCCAAGTGAATTTTACTCAAATTAGAGTTATCTTCATAACATAATTTATATACCAGATACAAGTAGAGCACCTTGGTTTCTGACCCTTGTCACTGAACCTCCAGGGACAAGTGATCGTGTGTCAGTAGATGATGATTAATTACTTAGTTTATTTATGGAGGCCACGAGTGAAAGCTTCAGGTCAGAAGGATAAAAGCAGTTGTCACCCAGGAGTTATTAGTCCTTGTTGGGCCGAGGAGAGCACAAATTGCCCTAAACTGTCAGAAGCTGCCCACGTGTGATTAACCCCACCTTTCCAGACCACCCGCATTTCAAGCCCTTTGGGAGACAAATCAGAGATTTCATGTTCCAGCTATTCCTACCATGCTAAAACACAGTGTTCTGCATGTTCCTGTTGCTGAACACAATTCACTTAAATAAATGTCTTATTAAATTAAAACACACAGAAAAGGTGGAGAAGTAAAAACTGTACAACCTGAATATACATATATATGTATGCATTTTTTTTTAGTTAGAGTCTCACTCTGTTGCCCAGGCTGTAGTGCAGTGGCACACTCACGGCCACCCCAGTGTCGACCTGTTGTGCTCCCGTGATTTTTCTGCCTCAGCCTTCCAAGTATCCAGTACTATCAGCGTGCACTACCATGCCCGACTAATTTTTTATTTATTGTAGAGACAAGGTCTCCCCAAGTTGCGCAGGCTGATCTCGAACCTGCAGGCTCAGGCAATCCCCTTGCCTCGGCATCCCAGAGTGCTGGGATTACAGCCTGAGCCACCAAGCCCGGCCTGAATATACATATATTTTTTTAAATGAACATATTCACGAAGCCACCACCCAGATCAGGAAACAGAACATGGCCAGTGCCAGAGAAGGCTGCCCGCTGCTGCCTCCTGGCCACAACTCTCAGACACGTGTGTGCACACACACTTCTGGCTTCACTGTATACAAATCAAATTATGCAGTGTGAACTCTTCTGTGTCTGGTGTCTTTGCTCAAGGTCATGATCTTGGGATTCACCCACACTGCTAAGTGGAGCCATGGTCTGTTCATTCTCATCGATGCACAGTTTTCATTCTATGAACTCATCTGAGTTACTTCAAGTTTTTTGGTGCACTGCGTATGCATTTCTGTTACGCATACCAATCAAAGTGGGGCTTGCTGGGCCGTCAGGTACATGTGTGCTCATGTGTGACTCATTCTGCCACACAATTTTCTAATTTGCACTTCCTACCTGCTGCAGTGATGCCATATCCTTACACACTTCGGTAATTCCAGCTTAAAACCGTGGCCGTTCTGGTGTGTTTTGCATGTGTCAAGACATCTCTCGTGTTAGATGTCATGTCTCTGAAAACTGGTAACACTGAACTTGTGGGTAGGCTTCTTTGCTGAAGGCAGATCTTTGGTCCCATTCGCACCGAGTTGTCTTTTTCTCATTGATCTTTACAGGAATTCTTAATGTAGTCTAGAAACCAGTCCTGCGTTGGGATATATGTAAATACGTATTTCCTCCACACATACTCTCTGCGGCTTGCCATTTCACCCCTCAGTGGCACCCGAACACAGTCCAGTCCGTCAGTCTCCCCTTCACGACGGCACTCGTAGAGGTGGGTCCTGGTTCTGGAGGCTGTGCCACCACCCTGGTCATGAGGATCATCCCTTCTGATTTCCTCTGAAGCTCTATCATTTTATCTCCACGTTTATTTCTATGATCAGTTTGGAACTAATTTTGTATATTCTGTAAAGTAAGGATCGAGGATCATTATTTTTCGGTACCCAATTGACCCGACTCATTCATGAAAAAGACTGCTCTTCCTCACCAAAGAGTCGCCTTTGTCTTAAACCATAGGACTGCATATGTGTGGATTTCTTCCTGGGATAGGTGTGCAAGTGTATACGTAGGACAGAGGATCCAGATGGATGGGTAAATGGGTGGAGTTCCTATTCTAGAAGTATATAATGAGACTGTCTAGCTCACTCGCTCACTCTGGCCTCTCTCTCTCTCTCTCTCTGTCATCTGTCTTCTCTCCTCTTGGACGTATCTATCGCCTATGTGTCTTTCTGTCTTTCTTCCTCATCCATCCACCCACCTGTCTGCTATCCATCAGATTAATTATGTTCAATCACTGCCCTCTAGCTATAGCTATCTACTTATTATCTGTCTTCTCTCACCGATCTATAGCTATCATCTGTCACCTTCCAACTATCTATCATCTATCTACATCTATCTTCTATCTATCTATCTGTCCATACCCTCTAACTCTATTGACTTCCACTTACTCCAGTCTTACGCAGTGTTATTACAGCTCTTTGATGAGATTTGGTAGCTAGAAGTTTAAGACAATCAGCTTTTTTCTTTCTAGATGGTCTCAGCCCTTCTAGGACCTTTGTATATTCATATAAATTTTCTGATACTGCCATAAGTAAAATAGTAATATATTGAATAAGATGATAAATATCTACCATTTATATATGAAATGATAGCTCAAAATTGTTTCTAAGTATTGCTTCTGCTGTATAGAATAAAATTTATATTTGCATTGACAGTATGTATTATAGCAACTCTGCTAAACTCACTTATTCATTCTAAGAGTTTTTCTAAAGACTTTTTGGATTCTCTTGCTTTCCCATATTTACACCTTTAAGAAGTTCTTCCTTGAGTTCACTGGCTAAGAACGCCCACAGAGTGTCAATTAGAAGTGACGAGTGTCAGTTAGAAGGATACATATGATTAATTGACTTTTTAATCAGGAGAAAAGGAAGGTTTATTTAACGAATGGCATGG